ATAGACATAATGTGGACATAGGCATAAAAAAGATCTTTGCAATAAGGGATTTTTTTAAAAGAGGTTTTTGCCTTCAGGTATGTGGACTCACTGGGAAAAGAGAGAGACAGAGACAGAGAGAGTGAGAAGGATATTGAGAAATCACCCCCCCCCAGGGGAAAAGGCCATGCCCCAATCCCTTCTCCTCCATTCTCTTCCCAGGATCTTGGGCATACACACCTATGCACCCGGTGTGATTTTCAAGTTGGCCATGTGGGAATCCATTGCCATAACCGCTATACCATCTGTTGGCCCCAATAAGGAGTTTATAAAGTTTATTTATTTGTTTTTCTGAGAGAGAGACACCCCACCAGTTTCTTCATGCTGCATCCCAGGCTTACACAGCCCAGATCATGGGCACATACATGTACTTGGCATGCTCAGAGAAGTCCTGGGACACAAACCCATGATCTTTCCCACATGAGTCTAGTTATATTATTGCTTGGACCCAAGGAAGCCTTATTTTAATTAAATATATAATGTGATATGCCAGACCCAATGAATGGCAATCCTGTTAGTGAGAAGAGAGTATATATCATAAACTAGCATTGTGGATGTTCACACTTAGGATGATGAGGGTGACGTGAGCTTGAGTTTTCATTTAGCATGTCTTATATCATATTACTTTGTGCCAAGTAAAATGACTTACATAATTTAATTCTAATCACGACCTTATGAAGTAGATAGTACTGTCGTATCATTTCACAGATGAGAAAAACTGAGGTAATAGAAGTTAACTCACTCAAGTTCATAGAAATAGTAACTACTAGAGTCAGGATACCCAGGCAGTCAGGATCCATAATGTCTACTCTTGTAAGAGGAATTTCTAGACATTCAATTATTACCCTTTTGGATATGGCGATGGAGCCTTTTGAAAACCTGAAAATCATTTACTACCCCCCCCAATATTCACATACACACAATTTTGCATATGATATCCAGAGAAATATTGTATTTGTGCAGTCTTTGGAATTATTGTTGGATTTGTTGGGGTTTTTTTGGTGGTAGTGATAATTATTGGTAAGGATGATAATGTAGTTATCAAAGAGAGTTGAAGTTTTAATTTGCTGAAGATTAATGAAGAATTTCTTTTTCCTGCTATCCAGATTCTAAGTGGAAGAACTTTAGAGCAGTGGGAAGTACAGGCTCAGGAAGTAACTACAATATCAGTAATCGTGGGTCCAAAGTTTAATCATATTTTAAATGGCAGAGGTCAGAACTATAATATGTTACTCATGCGCAACCTATGTATTTTTCTTTAGTATTCTAGAAATGCAACTACAATTTTTTGATATGTACAAATGCAAAGTTTGTTTTAGGTTTTAACATAGTCCTTAATTCAATTTGCGAATTGCTTATAACTAGGCTCTACTTCACAAAAGCAAGCAAAAGATTAATCCACAATCTGTGTCATTGTCTTAAGGTCTTTAGCTTCATCTATTATACCAGCATCTCAACAACCTTTATAATCTTTTGACTGTATTTTATTGTTGTTGCCCTCAAAACCAATTACTACTTATTACAAACACAGCGCTGTCATTCTGAAAGTCTTCTGAACTATGGTGCCTGCATAATGATGTGATGTGGGAGTCATGGAAACCCTTTGTTATTAAGATTATGGCCAAGATTACTCCAGTAAAGGGACATAGTGAGTGTTAGAGTTGAAAAAAAGGGGGAACAGAGGGAGAGTAGTGGAGAGAGAAGAATACCAAAGAGATAGAGTAGAAATATATAACACAAGCTCTGCCCAGTGCTACCTAGGCGAATAAAGCATCAGAACCAATGTTCATGCTTGGCATCTGAAGGCACTCATGTCTGTATCTCCCCTCTATCTATCCTTTAAGCCCTATTGGTTTGATCCCTGTGATTTTGGACTTTGCCCTCCCACGAACATTAATTTCTTTTCTTAAATCATTGATAAGCCTAAATATTAACATTTGTTTTAGAATAATTGCTTGATTTTCTATTTTGTCTCAGCTGAGTAGGTAGAGAAATTCCTCATATAAATATAGGATTATTAGTTAGAAAACAAATTAATCCATTTGTTATCTTTTTTTTAGGTCTATTTATATATTCCACAAGTAAACAGAGACAGAGTCACAGCACTCCTGATAGGGTCTTGATCCTACAATTCACACCTGGTTTAGCCTGCCAGATCATAGGCATAGGCATGCCAGGCATACATAGGGAGGTCTCTGGATGCAAAGCCATCAACCCTCCTATGTGCATTTACCTTGCAAAGTGTAAGTTTTACTCCATTTGTAATCCTTTTTTTATTATTTTTTAGGTTTTTGTCATAGATCGCATGTACTCACCCAAGAGAGATAGAGAGATAGAGACATAGAGACAGAGATAGAGATAGGAAAAGTGAGAAATCACCCCCTGAGGGGATGCCACACCACATGTGATTCTCCTCTGTTCTCTTTTAGGGATTTTGAGCATGCATGCAAACACACCCAGTGTGATATTCAAGCCTCTGGTTCTGGACCTCAAACCACAGTTGACTTGCTGTAGTCCAGCATCTTAACCACCACACCATCTGCTGGCCCTTAATTTGTGATAAGTTGAATGATACATATAAAGGAGAAGTACATACAACATCACCCATGTAAAACTATGTTCAGAATTGACCTCACAAACTATAACCTAGTTGTAAAATGAGTTCCTGGTCCATTTTTGACCATGGACATTTTTTATATACCTTGCATAATTTTAGAAAACTTCAATTAGTTAACATAGTAAATGTGGGAAAGGTCATATGAAAATTCACATTTTGTTTTCTAGAAATTGAAACATGAGAAATCCAGCAACACCAGACATGCTTCCTCCCAGAGCAGTGGCCATCTGAAGCTGTGTGCTGGCCCTCTGCTAGGGTTGTTGTCCTCCTTTCCCCCATGGGCTCCATCAGGCCTTTCATGCATTGACATTCCCTGGCTTAACTCTAAAAACCCTTGAGTTGTAATTCTTCCTCTGGAACTTCATTATAGTCACTTACTGGACCAACTAAAGTTGTGAGATTAGTCCACCTCTGGAGTAGTAGCTAATTACGAGAACGCAGAAAGAGCAAAGCACTGAACTTGAACCACTGCACCTTCCGTTATATGCAAGTGGTGGAAAAACATGTCAAAAGATGTAGTTCCTTTGGCAGAGCTGACTTAAATGTTAGATAAATGCTTTTGTTATATAAAGGGAGATCTGTGAAACATTATTTTATACTAAAATGGCAACCAGGATCCTGGCTGTGCTTGTATTTTGTCAGATTTTAAGGCACCTCTCAATGTACTTACATAGTTTTCAAGAAGCTAAAACTGAACATTTGGAGAGTATAATAGAGGCTGGACAAGATATTGAGAAATAAGTGACATAACACATCTTTTCCTTGTAAATTAGTGATGTTTCTGCCTGAGGTTATCACCTGAGGCATATGAAAGGAAAAAGGTTTGTCACCTGAGACTGCTGTGACTCGGAAAGCTATAGTATTAATTTGTCTAGTTTGGGGGAAAACATAAGTTAGCTAATGTAGAATATTTTATTAAGAGAACTATCATAAAACGGTTTGGGATATTAGCCTAGCAAGTATGTGACCTACACAATATGGCATTAGTTCAATTACATGGATATTAAGTCAGCTATTTTGGGCATTTACAGTGACTATAATGTGTCTCCCATGAACATTGTCAGAGGTGCTATAATATAATATAGAATGTTATTTTCTATCATATATTCCTAGAGATTGAGCCAGACTGCTAAACCCATTTTGGTTGAATCTGCAGGTCTTGCTTCTTTCCTTCTCTATTTCTTGTTATTTTTTAATAGGAAAAAAAAAAAGAATGCTAGATGTGAAGATTTAAAATGCCTTCAGAGTTCAATAAGATGAATACATACAAATGATTTTTAAAGCACCTTGATACTGTAAATATTATCCAGTTATGTATCACCAGAGTCTGGTTTTGAATTAATTTCTCGTTAGACACAAAGCAGAGCAATTCAGAGTAGGTGGAATTCTCCTGTCAGATGCTCACACACAACTTCAGTTGTGCCAGATTCCGCCCTCAGCAATGTGAGCAAACTTCAAACAGAAACGCACATGAATAGTTAAAGGAAAATGCTGGATCCCACCTGTTGCCTCTTCTGTGAAGTAATATGTCTATAATGTTTATAAATTTTAATAACCCATACAGGGCTTTATCTTTCAACATTAAATTTATATTATCCTAAAGTTTGACTTTTCTGGGCAATGTATTTTATTCTCTAGTATCTTAGAGAATCTGTCTCGTCTACTAACATATGTCTATTAATAAAGAATTAAAATAGTCTCTTATCCAACAGTTATCAGTACATTTATATGCTTACATCGAAACCTTTATTTTTAATATGATGTTTTCTTTATCTGATTGAAGGTGTCATGATCCTTACTGAGAGCTGAAAACAACAATGATATATTTGCTGATTCTGTCAAAGTGAATTGTATTTGTGTTTACCTATTGTTCCTCAAGATTATAATTGAATTAAAATTTTCAGAATGTTTCCTTTCGATTGTTTAAGGTCCCATACTGATGAAAGCTAAATGAACAAAATCATTTGCTTGAGAATAGATATATAAATACAAGACCAAGCTTTTAGGTTGCTTGTAAATGATACCATCAAACCTCACCAAAACCCTTATTTCTTAGAAGCAATGAATGTATCTCAATATAAACAATGGAATGAAAAAGCCTAACCAGCAAAACACTATTTTTACTTATTGGATTTGAATTTGTGACATATAAGGCATTTACATGCATAGAATTTAAGGTTTTAGTGGACATTACTTGTAACTCATTTTACAATGGCCCTTGAATATTGAAGTAGGTTTTGGTAGCCTTTTACTGGGAAAATACAGGAAATGAAAAGAAAGTCGTTTTTATATGATGACAAACTCACATAATCTAAACAACACTTTCCCATTCCTTTGATTTCAGTTTACAAGCATTGAGAAAGGAGAAATCCCGAGATGCTGCTCGCTCCCGCCGGGGAAAAGAAAATTTTGAGTTCTATGAATTGGCCAAGTTGTTGCCTCTTCCTGCAGCCATCACTAGCCAGCTTGACAAGGCATCCATCATTCGACTTACAATTAGCTATCTGAAAATGAGGGACTTTGCTAACCAGGGGGACCCTCCATGGAACTTGCGAATGGAAGGCCCTCCGCCGAACACATCAGTCAAAGGTAAGTTTTAGGCCACTGTTCAGTCTGGAATTTGGTGGCCTGTATGTGTCTCTAAGACGAAATGTTTACCGTCATCCTTTCTTCTTTTCCTGCATATCAAATCCTTTAAAGGGATACAAATGTGGAAATCTGAACTCTGCATGAGAAAGACAGCATGTGAAGGTGAAATAAACCTCTTCTATTTCTATTTTAAAAGCAAAAACAAAAACAAAACAGTCTGTCAGCCTAAATATCTGATCACTTAATAGAAGATTTCTGGGACATAAGAATGAAATGACTTACCTTAACGTACTTCTTGGGTTTAACTTGTGTTATACTAATACATGCACATGCTTCCTGATGGGTAGGGAGTGTTTCTTAAAGGGTAGAGCTAGCATTTTCTGCCTTAAGTAACCAAAGAAAAAGGGAATAAAGCTCAACTTTAGCAGGCATTTGAGTTAATGATTTTATTGACCAACAAAAATCAATTCATGTATTAATGCCTCCAATGTCTCTATATACATATTGCCTAAAAGTTATAAATATAAGTATATATATGTGTTCAGTTACTCTTAAAACTTATTTTAATAACTGTTAGACCTTTTTTTCTCTGGTACTTAAGATGTGTTTTCTTACATGCTCCTGAAATTCCTAATAATTTATGGCATTTTTAACATTTGAATAGGCATACACATATTTATTGAAGTATATATGCTGTTGACATTGGTTTTCTGTTTAATGGTGTGTTATTCAAAGTGTATGACCTAAAGGATGTGCTAGGTCATTAGGTCCCAGCTTTGTGTCTAGATTCTTGATGAACATAAAGCTGGGCATCCAGGGGAGATGCAGGCAGCTTCCTTTGGCGGTGAATTAGGTTCTTTAGTTTGTTATTACACCTTGCCAACTAGCTTTGAAAAGTCACTGACTTTTGGTTGTTATATATAAAAAAATGTTTCCAGAAGGAATCTGTAATTTATTGTGGAATTGAGTTTGAACTGAAGGGCTAGAGCAGTGATTATTTCTAAGTCCAGGCTAAGAGCCTGTCATATATGTAAATATATGCACATGCATGTGTGACTCTGTTACTTAGGGATTGTGTTATGCTTATGAAAGGAGGGATTTTGAATTTAGATTGTAACGGGTTATTTTCCTCTAGAGCAGAGAGGCAAACGCTGTCTGTGAAGGGCCACATAGTTAATATTTGAGGCCTTGGGGGCTTCTCAACTCTGCCATTATAGCATGAAATCAGCCATAGACAATATGTAAATGAAAGGCTGTGGCTGTGTTCCGATGAAACTGTATTTACAAAACAGGCGGCAGCCACGAAATTTGGCCATCAGGCCTTAGTTTGCAGACTGCTGCTCTAGAGCACCAGTCTGAATGATGTTCAGAGGTTGAGGAGAACACATAGGAGAGGGATTTCTCAAAGACAGGATGCCAGTATCAGGTAGCCGAGGACAGATAAAACAAGGCACATTCATGTAGTCCTTTCACAACTCTTCTGCTCTTAAGGATGTAAATAGTCACCTGATAAACACTAATCCATGTTTCAGATACTAGAGTGATAGTGAATTTCACCAAGCTAAAGATACTAATAACCTTGTAAATATATATTAGATCTATATATTTTTTTCATTTCTAGTTGAAGCACGAGATGTTTTCATGTTTATTCCAAATCATGCAAAATGAAAGGATAAGTGCAACAGGTTAGGATCCACACATGCAGGAAATATATAAGTACTATACTATTCAATTTCAATTAAATTGATGGACTGGACATATATTTATTTGTTTAGCATAATTTTCTTTTCTTGTATATCTATTTTTAAAGGAATCTGCAGTGAATAAACTCTCTTGGTTAGGATGGCTACCAAAGTAGAAAAACTTGATGGTTCTGTTGTCTTCCAATTTTTTTGTGATGTGATTGCCCATGTTACTTTTAGAATCATGGCCTTTTGGAGATGTAGACTTTTAGGTCATATAAAACTATCCCGTCATGTTACAGGTGAGGAAAGTAATGTAGAAATAACTTTATGACTAAGTATCAGCAGGTGTAAGACAAGAATCCAGTTTTTTTTTGCCTTTTCTGTCTAGTGCTCTTTCAATCACATCATGTAATTCCTATAGATGATAATTGTTTTGTATCACCATCATAAAACATTCCAGATGAGAATTTTCTCGGCTTTAGATAGTGACTAATAACTCACTTTTACTTGTGGCCTTCAGTCAACTCTTTAACTACTTATGATAATGGTGGATTAAAAACATAAAACATGGTCTCTGCCCCCACGGGTGTTGCAGTCTTTGGAAGGGGAAGGTGGTATCATGAGAAAAGCTGAGAGATTTGAATGACAGTTTAGGAGCCTAGAAGGAGGTAATAGATTTTATTATTTAAAAAAATGCATCCAGACAATGGCTGAACATCTAAGCCGGTACATGTGCACTTTCACTGTTAGTAACCTGATCATAGGCTAGAACCAAGCTGTAACCTAGTGACTCCACACTATCTGCTCTGGCTCTCAGAAGTTGCTGGAAATGCAATGGTCACTTTCCATCAGCCAGTTCTGCTGTACAATATATGTACATCTTATTGCTTTACTCTAGTTCTTTAATGCAAAACTGCTACTCATTCTGATCAAACATTCATGAAACAACAACATCAAAAGAAATTCATTTTAATTTATTAAGGTCTTCTATGTTGTGCCCTTGAAGAAGTTCATATGGATAAACAAGCTTATATAAATAGCCTGCGGCATCATGTGAAGTGCAGTTCATAATCCAACAATAAAACGACAGACATTATACTTCGTGCTCCTCTGAGCAGTGTCTTGAATAAACCTAAAGGCATTTGGAAATTTATATGAAAAGTACTTACACTATGTAGGCAACATTTTTTTAATGTGATGAGTTGATTATGTTAATAATTAAATTTCAAAGCTTACATTTGAATTGGTCCCAAACAACTATATAGAAATTTAATCATTTTAATTTACTGCTTCAGAAAGGTCCTTTACTCGGCCCTGTATTCATCATATCTTTTCTTAAGAGTCTATAAAGGCTGATGAGTTTGTTTTGTAATGCCCGTGGTATATAGATTATTACAAGTTATGCTTGCAGAAAGAACTCTCAGGTGACAGTGTGGAATATGTCCCGAGTCAATTACTTCATGGAAATGATATGTTAAGCAATTGGAAGGTAACAGATAGTTTTTTCCATTATTTTAGAAATATCCATATTGTTATAATACAGATCAAATCTACAATGAACATTATGCATTATTCAAGAAATGACCAGGCATTCTCAGTAGTGTTTCAGCTAAATAACTGATGATTGTAACCTTTAAAGAAATCTCATTGTGGTGACTGTTGGTAAATCACTTCTCCATTCATAGTAATCTCTATTTAGAGGCTATCTGGAAGCCATTATATCTTTTATTAATCTTAAAAGCAATAGCTGCTGATTTGACATTTGCTAAAACTAGATAAATTTTCTGTCTATCTAGTATCACAGACTTCAGTCAATTTTTAGAATATGTCTGTTGCAACTCTATTAATCTAGGAATATTTACCATTATAAGCATAAGTTTTATTTCAATTTAAACACTGAAGATTTTAAACAACAATTTGCCTATGTATGTAACAGGCAACAATGCTAAAGTATGTAAAATTTAAGATGGCCTTGGGTTTTGGAAAGAAACAATTGAAAAATATGCAAGACAACTAGTGATTAAAATTGACCGAACACCTTAGGGAAAAACTTTATCATTTTCATAGAATTTGTCTTCACTATTTCAGGTTTCTATTGTGAATTAGGTAGCAGATGTTTCTTAGAAGAGAGACTTGCAGGTCTATAGTAAAGCAGCACATTATCTATCCTTAGTCAAAGACCAGACTCTTAAACAGTGATGCTTAATAGATTCATTTAAAAGAGTTGTATATGGTAACTGAGTATATAGTTCATCCTTCAGACTGACATTGAATTATTCCCTATAATGGTTGACCCCAAAACTTAGATAGCATTTTATAATATGGTTCTGTTTAATTAGAAAGGTAGAGATTCTAAGACTGGCTAAGCAATGGGTCTTCTTGTCTAAGCAGCTCAGAGATCTTCTAGTTCTTGTTCTGGAATTTTAGTGAGTGCTAACAGATTTTCACTTCTACCAGCGACATGCTTGGGGGCAAGTGTCATATTCCTCCTTACCAAAAATCACATGAGATGAAAGTTACTAGAATTGGTATATGGTCTTGTAAAGCCTTCAGAATTCTTTTATTCTTTTTTTCTTTATATGGGCAAAGAGGAAAATCCAGACTCAATGGTCTAGTCATGAACAAAAGCTTCCTATAGGACTAGGAGAGTAGAGTAAAAAGTGGAAACTTGGTTCTTGCATGATTCCTGTTCCCATCTTCATTCTCTTCAGTAGACTGAGGGACTGACTTCCTGCTCTGGTCTGTAGTTCCATTTGCCTCAGTCCAGAGTTGGTGGTGGCACCAAATGAAAACTGAACCATCCAAAATTTGAGCTGTCAGTGCTCACTGCTGTTTGATTTGATAGTGAGAGCCAGGTTTTACCAGTATATAGTAATGTGATATAATTGTCTTTTCTTAGATTCACTTCTAGAAAAGCTTTTAAATTACCTTCTATTATTCTTTTATCTATTTCTAGTGAAGTTGTGATTTTTGAAAAAAGCTCATTTAAAAACTGACCTTTCACTGTGTACAAACTTTGCATTGTGATAGGACAAATCATATTGTCCTACCACACATTACCAGGATCACTGTCTTTGACCCTGGCCAGGAAGGGCTTTCTAATGATTGTGGGCTTGATGGCAGAGTACGTCTCTGAAACTCTGATTCTCTAGAGTTTTATGCTTTATCATGAAAAGCTTTTGTGTCTACTAAGGTTGACTCTAGCTCATTGAATTATAGCCTAATTAGCATATAAATATTATACAGCATTGCTAGTTTCTTGCTATGCATCACAGTCAAAGAATTTGACTCTTTACCACTTTTTCAGTATATCTG